CTCTCTCTCACACACACACACACACACACACATGCATACACTCTCTCTCACACACACACAAACACACACACGTTCACATAAACACACACACACTCTCTCACACACACACACACTCTCTCTCACACACACAAACACACTCTCACACACAAACACATACACACACACATGCATGCACACACAGACACACACAAACAAACACACATATACTCTCTCTCACACACACACACACACACACACAAACACACACTCTCACACACAAACACACACACACACTCTCTCACACACACAAACACACACACATTAAATCACCTTTTGGACGTAATTTGATGCTTCAAATTAAGATTGCCTTTCATCTCTTGATAGTGGATGACACTCTCTCTCTCTCACACACACACACACACACATGCATACACTCTCTCTCACACACACACACACAACTCATTCACTCACACACACACACACACACACACACACACAATTTTCACATTTTTAAAATGTCTTCATCACAACATAAATGGATGTTTCTCTTGAACTATATTTACCTGCCTCTAAAAGTCACATGAGAGCAGCAAACTGTGATTGGCCGCTGTTCATGACCTCATCACAGGTGACCTCTGACCTCTGTAAACTCAGGACAGACTAGAGGAGTCACAGCCGGAGCTTTGAAGACGTGACGCTCATGTGGAATATAAATGGATGTAATGGTCTCTGTGATGAACACGCCTGTGCATTCTTCCCCATCAGACGTAATTGAGTTCACCGCCGCAGACGCCTGCAGGGAATAAAGAGCGATTCATTTGTGTCCTCGGATAAAACCAGTTTAATAGAAACCAAGCTGTTTACAGGTAGAAAGGAATAATTCATCCTGCAAGAAAAGTCGTTCCAAACTCAAATGCATTAAAGAATCTGAGGAATCTTCAGTTGAGTGTCATACGGACACATTATGATGCTTTATAGTGTTTCTGGAGCAGCTTCACAGCCTGTCATGAACAGCGTGAACATCCTGCTAAACATCTGCATGCGATCGTGTGCTGGCAGCTCATGCAAGCGCTGACTTACCGTCAAATACAGAGCCAGCGTCCCACAATGCACCTGGGTCAGGCACAAGAAGTCGTTATAGTGCTACTCTGATTCCAGGTTTAAGAGTAGCTTCTTGTGTCTTACAAAAAGTCATTGTTGATATAATTTAATTCCCTAAAGTGCTCAGAAAATATACAGTTGTACAAAATATATGAACAAACTGCAATGACATTTATAGTTTTATTTAAAATAATGAACAATGAGCCCATTTCTGCCAAAGAATAAAATAATAAATACATAGACTTTTTATTTCACAATTCTAACTTTTTTCTCATAATTGCGAGATAAAGTCATTTCCAAGTTATTCCATGACAGAAACAAACAAAAGAGAATTGAGAGATGGAATGAGTTTATATATCACAATTCAGTTTTTTTTTCGTTTCACCGCAAAATTAAATAAATAAAGACAATTGCGACTTTTTATCTCACAATTCAGAATTTTTATCTACATTTTATTACATTGTCAGAATTCTGAGAACAAAAGTCAGAATTGCAAAAGATCAAATAAATTGTGAGATAAAAAGTTGCAATTGCCTTTTTTTTAATCCTGTGTCGAAAACAAGCTTCCAAAAATAACAGTTCTATTGTCCCCCCCCAAAAAAAGACAGTTTTGATAATATTTGCTTGATAATCGCATTAATATGCTTGCTTTATTAAACACTAGATATGTGGGTTGACTGCTTTCAGAGTAAAATAAGTTAAACATTAAACAAAAAAATGCAAGAACTTTTTGGGAAAAGCATTTGAATCTTCATAGAAATAGATTCCCTGGAGTGGAATCGACTCACGATTCTGAACACGCCAGAAGTGAAGAATCGATTCGTTTGGGAATTGAGTCCTGCTGAAGGGACACGTGTTGTGACTTGGTTCTGAGCCGATCCGCCCCTAAGTGTGTGTTTCTCTGAAAGCTCATGTGAAGGTGAATGTCACACCTGACTGCTAACACAGCTATATGTCTCTCTGACAGAGTCCACCTACCGCCATCAGGCCAATATCGATGATGAGACCGTCAGCATGGAGATTCTGGACACGGCCGGACAGGTGCGCTAATTAAACACAGCCATACACACATCATCAGTGAGTGAGGGCAGTATACCAATAACAGACTGCAGCAGGTCTACTTTTATATCCTGCGACATCTTCGAATAATCCATATATTAAATAAGGACGCGTTATAATCAATATAGTAAATCAACAGAACAAATAAGGCAGCGTCAAATGATCAATAAAACATTTATAAATGAATGGAAAGCCATCTGCTCACCTGAACTCTAAAGTGACTCTGAAAGCTGATTGGCTGGAATAGCTTTCTCTGACGCTGATTGGTTGTAAATGCGAGAGGCGGGACGTTTCACTTGATTATCCATTCTGATTGGTCAGTAATGAGAACCAGTGTTTAAAACTTGCATGCAAGATAATCTTGCGTGCCAAATGTTTTATCCACAAATGTAAGATATAAAAAAATTAACCCCCTTTTTTAACCCCTTTCAAAGAGATATTATGACCTAAATTAAATCTTTATCAGATTTTTAGATATTTTTACTAGGAAACAAACAATTAAAAACTCATTAAATGTTTTTATAATACAATAGTTTGAGCAGGTAAATGTCTAGTAAAAATATTAATTTATCAGGCTCTCATCTAAAGCGATTAACAGTCACAATATTATAGATTTTTGTTAAGATATTTTATATTCTGTATTCACTTTAATTTGAGTTAAAATGTTACTAATTTTGTTGTGTATGGTCATTTTTATTAGTCTTTTGTTTTGTTTTTTTAATATGTCTATATTTATTTATTTTTTATTTATTAGTTTCAGGTGGTTTTAGTCGTGTGGTTTAGTTTTAACATTTATTTTATTTCAAGTAACAATTTTTTTATGGTTTCAGTTTTAGTTAACGGTGTTAACCCACGTCACAGGTTCATTTCTCCTCCATTAACCAGTGTCTTATTACTGTGTTATTCCTGAGTTATTCCTGAGTTATTCCTGAGTTATTTCTGTGTTATTCCTGAGTTATTCCTGTGTTATTCCTGAGTTATTCCTGAGTTATTTCTGTGTTATTCCTGAGTTATTCCTGAGTTATTCCTGAGTTATTCCTGAGTTATTTCTGTGTTATTCCTGAGTTATTCCTGTGTTATTCCTGAGTTATTCCTGAGTTATTTCTGCGTTATTCCAGTGTTATTCCTGTGTTATTCCTGAGTTATTCCAGTGTTATTCCGGTGTTATTTCTGAGTTATTCCTGAGTTAATCCCGTGTTATTCCCGAGTTATTCCCGTGTTATTCCTGAGTTATTCCTGAGTTATTCCAGTGTTATTCCTGAGTTATTCCTGTGTTATTCCTGTGTTATTCCTGATTTATTCCTGTGCTGAGTTATTCCTGTGTTATTCCTGTGTTATTCCTGAGTTATTCCTGTGTTATTACTGTGTTATTCCTATGCATGTCTGCACTATGTCTGCACTTTCCTCTGCACTGGAAGCTCCTGTCGTCAAGTCAAATTCCTTGTGTGTGTAAACATACTTGGTAATAAAGCTCTTTATTGAACCTACAGCCCTCATCTTTAGCCGCTAGGCCACGCCCACAGGTCATGTGACCTTACTAACAGTGTGTTTGTGTTGCTCAGGAGGACGTTCTCCAGAAGGAGGGTCACATGCGCTGGGGCGACGGGTTTATCCTGGTCTATGACATCACAGACCGCGGGAGCTTCGAGGACGTGGCTCCGCTGAAGGGCCTCCTGGACGAGGTCAAGCGGCCCAAACACGTGCCTCTGGTGCTGCTGGGAAACAAGGCGGATCTGGAGCACGCCCGGCAGGTGGCCACGGAGGAGGGCGAGCGGCTGGCTGCCGACATGGCCTGCGCGTTCTACGAGTGCTCGGCGTGCGCGGATCAGGTGGGGACGGGCGGAGGCGTGGCGGAGGCGTTTCACGAGCTCTGCAGGGAGATCCGCCGCAGACGCGCCGTTCAGGGCAAAACCCGCCGCCGCAGCTCCACCACACACGTCAAACAGGCCATCAACAAGATGCTGACCAAGATCAGCAGCTAAAGACAAGACTGCAAAACATGCGATTCCTCCTCAGTATCTCCAGTACAAAGAGCTACACATTCTTAAAGAGATAGTTCACCCAAAAATGGCAATGTGCTGAAAATGTGCTCACCCTCCGAGGCCATCCCAGATGTAGATGAGTTTGTTTCTTCATCAGGTTTGTAGAAATGTAGCATTGCATCAGTGTCTCAGCAATGGATGCTCTGCAGTGAATGGGTGCCGTCAGAATGAGAGCTGATAAAAACATTACAATAATCCACAGCACTCAGTTAACATCTGGAGAAGACAAAAGCTGAAACACATCCATCATCAAGACGCTTTTAACTAAAATACATTGAGTCTATAATCCATAATAACGCTTCCTCCAGTGAAAAAGTGAATCTGTTGTCTCTCACATATTTGTTTAGAGCTGTTTTGGCATTCTTGATCTGTGCAGATTTCTCTTCTGATTCAGACCAGAACACTTTTTCACCGGAGGAAGCGTTATTATGGACTATGTACTCTATGTATTTGAGTTAAAAGCGTCTTGATGCTGGATTTGTTTCAGCTTTTGTCTTCTCCAGATGTTCACTGAGTGCTGTGGATTATTGTGATGTTTTTATCAGCTCTCATTCTGACGGCACCCATTCACTGCAGAGCATCCATTGCTGAGACACTGATGCAATGCTACATTTCTCCACACCTGATGAAGAAACAAACTCATCCTAATCTGGGATGGCCTAAGGATGAACACATTTTCATTTTTGGATTAACTGTATCTTGATTTAAGAATCGTTTGCAGGAAGAAGCTCATTTTTTGCAGTGCAGACACCGGCGCTGGGATTGCGTAGAAGTTTCTCCGTCTATGTGGTGTGTTTTCTCTGCGTGTTTCTCCAATATAAGCCTGCGGCAGTATATTTGTTCTTACGGCTGAACTGAAGGATTGTCGTCAAATAAAGCACTATCCCGTTCATAATCGCGGCTCTCTGACTTCAAACGAGGATGCTGGAATGTCTCCTGATGCTATCTCAGATGAACAGACATGTTTCAGGACAGATCATGTCCACATGCTTGTCTCCTTCTACTCTCGACTGTCACAGGCTCCTGGAAACACGTGTACATTCCTGCAGAGCTCTGTTGATGTGTACAGTAAAGCCGTGTTCTCCGTGTATTTCTCTCTAGGAGAAATGTGTGTAAACCTCATGCATATGAAAAGAAAACAGCTGCTGGTTTGCATTTGTCTCGTGGTTCATCTGCAGTTGATATGAAACACAAAGATCACGGTGAGATCAGAATGAGATAACAGAAACAAACACAGACTATTAACCTGGTAATCAGTCAATGCACTAACTAACAACTGTGTGATCAGTTCATTAAAGAAAGATTAATACTGTACAACTGCATGACTAAAATGAGCATTTCAGACACACACACAAAAAACATTTGTAATGAGATTAAGTTTCAAGCACACACTTGTTTAATGCGTTAGTTATCATGAACTACTGACAAACAATTTTTTAAGCATTTCTTAATCTAGGTTCATGTTAATTTACACTGTTTACTGTTAATCCATGTTCATGCATAAATGTTAATAAATACAATTTGAAATGTTAAAATGCACGCCTTCATTTTTAGTTTGACATCAACAGTAATGCATTAACTAATGGTAATGAATATATATATATATATTAAATTAGTTGACGGTTATTATCGTTAACTAAAATTAAAAAAAGAATGTTACTTGGAACAAAAACAATTTTAAATAAATAACTGTTTTACTTCAGCTAGTTGCCAAGATGTCTTTCTTTTTTAAGTCGTGGCCTAATGGTTAGAGTTGGACTCATAACCCAAGGTTGTGGGTTCGAGTCTCGTACCGGCAGG